TGTCCGGGGGGGCTGCCGCTGCGCTGCCGGTGCCTTCTCCCAGCTCTGGGAGGCCCAGGCTGCCCGATGCTCGGTCAATGCTGCCCTCTCTTGGTGAGAGATGGTGGAGGAACACAGATCCAGGTCAAGTGCAGTGTTTATCTCTTTTGTTGTGTACATGGAAGCTGTTACTGCCCTTTTCAGAATGGGTGGGGTTTTAGGTTTTATTGTTTTCAGCTGACATAGTTGAAGAGTTTGTGTAACCCAGTGAGCAGCTGGTATGAAAACTGTGTTTAAACTATGACTATTTTTTCAAAAATAAAATTGAGCATTAAGAATTTATTATTGCTGTGGTAGATTGAAGCAAGTATGGTCATAGGAGCTCCCTGCATTGCGCAATATGGGGTTTACCCAGTCCTGCAACCACACTCCTAATTAACCTGACACACAGAGGCAGTTCTTCAGGATCACATTGTGAGGACCTCTACAGCTGACTGCACTGTGTGCTGTGGCTGGGGGGACATGGCTGCAGGCTGGGGCACAGCAGAGCTTGTTGGCATGCCCTGGCTGCTGTGACCCTGTGGCTGGGGCCTGGGGCAGGCAGACTTGCTGTGGGCAGAGATGCAAGTACTGCAATCTCCCCTCCCTGGCTGTCGGAGGCAGAGAGTGAGGCCAGGTTGGGCTCTGCATGCCCAGAAACTGGGGACACCAGAGACCCTCCTGAGCTGGTGGTGTACGAGGCTGATGAGGAGAGAGGGTAGAGACAAGGCTGCTGAGTAGGGGCTGGTGTGAGTGAAGGCAGCAGTTTGGAAACTGCTGAGCGGGAAGGCTGCAGAGCAGAGGAACGGGGTGAGGTACGCACAAATCAAAGCTAGGAAGGAGGGAGTGTGTGTCTGTCCTTTGACTCCCACCTATAGATGAATCTAGCTTATGCCTACAGATTTCCTGTGTCTAGTCCTGATGTGTGTGACTGTTTGGGCAGCTGCTGGGCCATCTTCTGAGAGGCAGAAGTCGATGGCTCCATACTTATTTCTGTAGACTGCCTGCAGTGTCTGATGGAGGAAGGGTGTGCAGTACAGAAAGGTGACCCTTTAATCGTATTTATGGGTCTTCTATTGGATGGAGGAAAGGTTGTGCTCTGCAATTTCTTGCAAATCAGATTGGAAAACATGCAAAATTCATAACTTGAATGATTGATTACTCCTCCTTCCCTTCACATTTTGTTATCAACATAGAAACTTATGAAACTTTATGACATTAAGAATCAATTTGTTTTTATAATGTTCTAGCAATAGAAGGTCTATGCGTGCATGTCTCCTTGTTTTTTTATCCAGTAGATGTACCTGTTGCACACAATGAGTGGAGTTTGGTAAAAGCAGCCAAGCTCTCAGTGTGGGCCCCTACATTTGAAAACTTTCATCTTATGTCTTGACTGCATTTTCAGTTAAGTTAGACCTGCTGATACTGCTAATATCTGAAATGCAGGGAAGGAAGCTCCTTCATAAACACTGTGGTAATGTGTATAGTGGCAACTGTTGTTGCTGAGAAGTATGCAAATTTCTTTTTTAGGTAGGGCAGGGAAGGGATTTATTTATTTAAATGATAAAGATGATGGATTTCTCTCCTATCTCACATTCAGGTTCGAGATGCAGCAATGAACAGCCTTGTGGAAATTTACAGACATGTTGGTGAACGTGTAAGGGCTGATCTCAGTAAAAAAGGATTACCCCAATCTCGGTAAGTTGAAAATGTCCTTAAATATTCACTATTTTTGGGCTGCTTTTTATTCCCTTCCTTTTTTTAGAAGGCTTCAGGAGCTACGTGATTGAACTTTTCCCTGGAATCTGAGTTGATTTTTTTTTTTTCTTTTCCTACAAACACTTGCTCAGGTTTCCTCTTTCTCATTAAGATCCTGTACCTTTGCCCAGGTATCTTTGGATAACCAGCATCTTTGGAAAACCAGTAAAATTATTATTGATGTGTGGTTAACTGATTTAAGACTTACTGTGGTGTTTTTTCTTGTATGTTCTGCATGACTAGAGGGAACATTTCAGATTAGCCTGCGTTTATGCAACTTAGAAGGCTGTCATAAAGAAGAACATCATAGTCAATATCAGCAGTTCTAAGGCTTTATTTGAAGCAAAACAAAACACACAAAAGCCAAAACCCTGTCCCTCTGCTCCTGCCACTTCATGTGTAGTAAGAAAGCTGCTCTGCACCCCCAGTGCGCAGAGTGGAGCGTGGTCAGCCCTGAGGATGGAGTAGGTGGCTGTGGGTCAGTGCATGCAGGGAGGATGGAAAGAGGTATTTGGGGTGCAGGCAGGCACAGGCAGTACCACTGCCTCTTGTTCTCTAGTGGAAGCATCTGCTCCCACAGCGTGGCTTAAAGTTGTAAACTCTCTGGGAAGGAATAATGAGTTGTGATAAGGATCTGCTGCTCCACCAGGTCTGTGACAGGAATGGGAAAGAAGTGTCAGGGCCCAAGACAAATCTTGTGTGAAGCTGCTTCTTAGGGGTGATTTTTGTGGTGTTTCTGCAAGTAGTTATGATAGGCAAAGTGATAATGAACTGGAAATGCATCTACAATTTGACATGTCACATCTGCAGTAATGTAGTATTTCAGATTGAATCTCTTAAACATCTGTAGTATCAGTTGTTTTGCAGTTTTTGTTACCAGCTGTTGCATGTTGTGATTTTTTAAAAAAAATAATTAAATAACTTCCCTCCACACTGATATTTCTGATGGTTCTCCCAATGACCTGAGTGAAGCAATATTTGTCCTATAACATCTTATATTAGAAGACCGCTAAAAATTAAATTCAACTGTTCACTGTGTATTTCTTTAACTTTCAAACAGGTTGAATGTAATTTTTACAAAATTCGATGAGGTCCAAAAATCTGGAAACATGATCCAGAGTTCAGGTGGTGAGTAGAAGTACTTGTATTCTCTTCTTGGTGTTTTAACAATTTTCAACTGTTGAGGCATTCAAATGGACACAGACCAAGCATTCTGTTGGGGGGAACAAGCATCGGTGATAGTTCAGAAATCTATGCATAGCCTTTGCAGCAAATAAAACTGATGTTTAGTTTGTCTTGCTTTGTCTTCCTTGTAGTATCAGAAGGAGAATGAGGCATAAGTTTCAAGAACAGAAGGTGCTGTTTTCCTCCTGAGTTTCACAGGGAAATATATCTTCTGTTCTCAAGTCCATGTGCATCTTTGTTTAAATTATTCATAAGATAAAATAGTATTAAGTAGTAATTTAAGAGAAGCCTTTTCAGTCGAAGGCTCATATTGTTTAGGGGTTGTATTTTGCAGTTCCTAAGTTTGCGTACTTTGCACGTTTATCACTGATAGTCAAAGAGCCTTATCAAAGTCTTTCTTGTCTGAGACCAGTATTTTACTTTAGAAACAAGTGTTTATCACTGCTTTCCTTATAGATAAGCTTATGAGCTAGAAAGTATTTTTGATAAGCATTATACATTTTTTAGGAATAGATTTTTGAGAGAATTCTTGGTGAAGGAATTAATCTTTCTGCCAACAGCTGAGTAGAGCAGAGATAAAGAGCATGGGTTCAGTGCTGCGGGTTCCTACCAAGCTCACACCCTCCGCAAGGCTGAGAGCAGGAGAGGTGATGTCCCCAGTCTTTCCCACCATGCTCTTGGAAGCCAAGGAAGCAGAGAGGTCTCTACTCTCTTAAATTGGAAAAAATAACTTTTTCACTTCTAGGCACCATTTGTCTCGCCATACCCAGTTTAAAATACAGTAAACCTCATCCCTGCGAGAAATAATAAAGCTGACTTAACTGAAAATTCTGAAGTTATGTTTTGCATTATTCAGAAATGTCGTGTGATTCTCTTGTACATTTAGGAATCATGTTTGGGAACCTAGTGCAGGTTCCTCTGTGATGGGATGGGTTAAAATTATGCTTTCGCATAATATGGGAAAATATTGGCTGTATAGGTAGATGAGGCTTACAGTGGCAAAAAAGTGCAGGTGAGAAACAAATGTCCTTGTACTTTTTTAAAAGGGGAGGGGGAAGTAAATATTTAATCCCTTAGCAAACACCTTAAGGTTTACAAATCTGTTTGTTCAAAAATCCTGACTCAAA